TGCTTTCTTGGTTATTGAGATGGGGTCTGGATTTGCCACTAAGGATGACATTCCCTGAACCACTATGGACCCTTAAAACAGTGGTGAAAATCTTCATGTGGTTTATTACTGTCTCATTGCACAGGCTGCATGCTTAAAAAGCACCTCTGGTCTTCAGCAGCAACAGGAGTGGTGCAGGCTCCCATTCCATGCAGCATCTCATTTAAATAACATTAGTGGGTTTAGCAATTTGTTGAGTCTTGACTCCCTTAGAGAAAAACAAAGTTCCACTGTGAGTTTCCAACAGACCTGCCACCTCCTTGAGAAGATCATTGTTTCTCCTCAGCAGAAATTTAAATTCTCTAAAGGATGATAAACCAGCACCTGCAATAGCTTATTACCCTACAAAGCAGCCTCTTGAATTTAGACTAGACATTTCTAGCTCCTTTTCTAATCAGGGAGGAACACTTTATTTACTCCAAATTGTCAAAAATTATTCATCCAAATTTCCCTGGCTCCTTCTCCTTCCTTCCACTGCAGGAGTTTGCACACAGCAGGTTACTGAAGGGTCCACCAGCCACCTCCACTGCAGGTGGTGCTGCTCTGTAAAGAAACCTCCAAACCCAAACCGCAAGGCTGCGGTCTAGTTTAAAGTGATGCATCACTGAATAATGCTATAGATCAGCCACAGGGGAGTTTGCTTAGTAGAAAACTTGGCCAAAGAGGACTTCAACAACCACGAAGACACATGGCAAGGCCAAATTGAACTCATGTATATACTGCCTTTCCAGGACTGAAAGGAAGGAGGCGGGTGTGGAAGCATCTCCAGGAGCTAAATTATATCCATATGTTAGGAGAAAACAGAGTTGCCAGAGACCTACAGAAAGAGCCTCAATCTTGAGTGATTTTTTGTACATTTAAAAATTAAATAATGTTGTTGCTGTAGGTGGTCCAGCTGCTGGGGGTGGGGTGGTGGCATTCCCGTTGCTTAATCATCTAGTTAGTACTGCTAGCACTGGGGGAGCAGAGCAGGTAGCAAGCATGGTTGCTTATTGACACCATGTGCTGTGGGGAAGAGGGAAACAGCGGAAAGCAACCAGCTAGATTTAATTGCACTCTGGAAGACCCTTACAGAGAGATCAGTTAGTGCAAAACTCATGTCCAGGCTCATGCTTTGGAACAAAACAAAGACAAAACTACTTTGGGCCCAGTATCTTGAGAAATAGCTCTTCTGCAAGGGAGAACTCAAGGCAAGACCTTCAGCACAGTCCTGAGCATGCAATAACCAAAGATGTTAATGCTTGGCAGCATGCTCATGGGCCAGAAATGAGTTGAAAAAGAACATCTGTGAAGTTGACTTCTTCACCCAAGCAGACAATAGGAGGCTCACCCAGCCCATTCCCAAATAAGCTCCCATTTCACTAGCACAGGGTGAACAGGATAATGGCAGTGAATTTCTAGACAGTCCAGGGTTCAGCAAAAAAAAAACAGCAGGTGTCTTCTTCATACTGTCCTTACTGAAAAGAGATTTATCTGAAATCTTGACTCTCCTCCCACATTTTGCTGTTATATGTATTGCTAAGGGGAGTGATTGGCTTAGGCTCTCCTCTCGTCTCATCTCTCCTGTATATAGAGATGTGTGTATATATATATACACACACACACGCATATATTGCTAATGCTTCAGGTCCATCATTGCTCCTCTTCCCCCTCCTTCAGCCAAGAAACATATTTCTTTCATGGCCTGAAAGGAACAATGATCAAGGCCAACTTCCTAGCCACATGAAGCACCTGCAGCAATATACTCAAGTCCTCATTAAGGCTCCAGTTATCCATTTCACAATAAATATTTTACAGTGAACAACGCAGTGAAGCTTTCATTTGACAAAGACAAAAGAAGCTTTGAAGCTAAGGTTATGTATGTTTTATGCTGCTGGACAAGCTCATGTTACCAGATGGCGGCTGAAAGAGCCACTCACAAGTTAACAACAGGTTGGGAAGCAAAGTAATTTCAGCAGAAAATTAAAGGTCAGTGATGTTCTTCAGCTTCTACACACTTGGTAAGAAACAAGAAGTGTTAGGTGAACAGATCCTAAGGATCTACTCCCACACTAAACCTGGAATTTAACTACATAGAAAAGACTGAGCCAACCTTTAAATACAGTAGCACAGAACATGGAACACCAGAGTTCATGCTCCTGCTGCCCCAAAAGCAGTAAGAGCAAAGGCTGGTCACAGACTGTAAACTTCAGCTACGCCCATCTGTAACGGGGACACAAGACTTCCTTCTCTCTGAAGGAGAACGCGTCCAGGCTTGGTTCTCACAGCCCTTTATCATAGCACAGAGAGCTCCCAGGAAAGGCACTGCAACAACTGCACATACAAGTACACATTTGTTCTCATCTCCAAGAGTGTCACAGGGCGCTTCCGTTTTGCTGTGATATGGCTAAAGATTGCAAGTTGCTCAGATAGCTCAGGAATGAGGGCTGAGCAATCATTCTGGAGACCAATGGAGACAATTGCACACCACCATTTCAGGCAAGGGAACAGGACTCCTGAATTTAGGGCTGCTGAAACACCACCGGCTAATGCAATGCTCAAGAGGGACAACTTCCCCCACATCATACTTGCCCTGCTATTGCCTATTGTGAGCCTTGTCGGTCAGCCTCAACTAAGGGCTAAGATGAAGATCATGTCACTCACCTTCCATTTTAGGTCAAAGACTTTTCTGTGGCTGAAATTGCACCTTCACATACTGCAGCTTTGCACTGTGCGTCCCTATAGCAAGAACAAAACCCCAAATACTAGTACACCTCAAAACAGGGAGCAAGTTTCTAATAGGGAAGCTGTTTTAATGTATTTTCAGTCAAGTCCTTAAACAGCACAGGAGTTACTCCAGCCCTTATCAGCACAGGACTCCGCCAGACAAGCAAAGTTATATTGCTTAGTGAAATCAGTTTCACAATAAAAATGATTTATTCAGAGAGCTGTGTGCCATGTGTTCCAAAAGCCATCTGTTGTGCCAGCACAAGTAGGATTTTTGACTCTTCATTAAGTAAGGAAGGAACAAAAGGACTTAATTTCCAGAAATACAGTATAAGGCTGTGCAGCTGCAAGTGTAGCCAAGCATGCCTAGTTCACTAAGGGGCATGCAAGACTTTGATTTGCATCTAATGCTTCTAAACTACTTTGAAGTTAGAAAAAAACCAACAACAAACAACTCACAAAACCAAAAAACTTCACACGCTCTCAAGTCATCTTTTAAAAGTCTAAATCAGTCTAAGTTAAGAAATCCAAATCCTTTATTTTCCACTCCTTAGTAAGGAGTGTTTTCTTGGGAAAATACAAGGGAGAGAGAAAAAAAAAAAAGAGAATTCCTGCCCAACACTTCTGGGGACTGTCTTGCAATAAGCAAAGCCTGTCTGTGGATCAACTGGGTCTATTGCTTTAGTTCAGTGGACACTGGATCAGGTCCTGCTTTGAGGACTATCCACCATTTGGAGCCTGTATGGAACTCACCACAGCTGTGCATCTTGCACCCACCCTGCAACTGCGTTATGCAGCTGCTCTGTGCTCTCCCTCTCCTCAGGAGAGCTGCAAAGTGCTTTGCATTTTTGTGTGTTTATAGATGAATACAACACATTACCAAGAGAGCAAGGGCAAAACTCTGCACCTCACACTTGGAGCAAAAGGTGCCAGATCTGGGATGACCCAGGGGTCTTCTCCTGCAGCAGTCCTACCTGAGCACATTCCTTTACCCCAAGAAGATCAAGGCTGGCTAATGGGGCTTCTGTCAACTCTTCAGATGTAGTTTTGGAATCAGGTCTTGAAAAGATTTTAGAAGTTTATTTTAAACTAGGTAAAAGGAAAGTAGTCAACTTACAGTTCCCAGTAAACCCACACTTGTAAGGTGGCAACTGGGACTGATCTCCAAGTCTTTTCTGGTCTGGAGTCCAGCACAGGCTGATGCTGCAGCTACACACTGAAGTGTCTCATACAACCCATCTACAGAAACTGAGCACTGTGGCTCAGCTCTTCTTCTGGAGGTTTACCAGGACAGCCCTGCTGCAGAAAGACAATCTGCCCTGTGAGGAACTGGTCGGGAAAGATTTCAACAGATCCCCTTTGTCCCCTTTACAAAGTTAAGGTTTTGCAAAATCACAGAATCACTAGGTTGGAAAGGCCCTTCAAGATCATCAAGTCCAACCATTAATCCAGTGCCACCATGTCCCCTAAACCATGTCCTGAAGCGCCACATCCACACGTTTCTTGAACACTTCCAGAGATGGCGACTCCACCACCTCCCTGGGCAGCCTGGTCCAATGCCTGACCACCCTCTCAGTGAAGAAATTTTTCCTAATATCCAATCTAAACCTCCCCTGGCGCAACTTGAGGCCATTTCCTCTTGTCCTATCACTAGTTACTTGGGAGAAGAGGCCAACACCCTCGTCACCACAACCCCCTTTCAGGTAGTTGTAGAGAGCGAACATTAAGCACATGAAGGCATTTCATTTATGAAGCAGTTTTAGGTCAAATATTTATTGCATTCCTTATAAAACAGTAAAAAGCATCAGATCCTCTGAAACAATCTTCCCAATTCAAGACATTTAAATACATATTGCAAACCAATTCTTTTGAGTATTGTGCATATAAAAGTGTCACAGTTCAGGCAGCACAGGATAGATTTTTTTTTTCTTTTCTATAAAAAAAAGCAGGCAATCTTTTGATTTCAGTCTCTAGCCCTGACAAAAAGTTACACCCAGCTGGCCAGCCAGGAGAAGTACGTATCCCAATCCCTAACCTCAACGTGCCTGCATGTGTACAGGTCAGGGTCAGACAGGTAAAGCAGATACTGCTCAAGCCTGTACAGTATGCACAGATACCATCCCAAAGAGACAGCAGGCAAAAGGATCACTGCAGATCCATAGGGATCAACTAGCATTCCCGATCCTGCCCTTCCTCGGCCAGCTCAGGGATCACAGTGCTACTTCCCTTCCTCCACCTCCCTTGTCTCAGTGCTGTCAGATGACCACTTGATAGCTGGGCTGCTTCATCTTCTGATTCGTTCCTGGGAGTCCTGAAATATCCTGGTCGCTTTCAGACTGATCAAAATCCATGTCTGGAGACAGTAACACCTGAAAGGAGAAGAGACAGATGGTGATGGAGTGAAAGTTCTCAGCTCTTCTTGATACTGCTTACTGAAGGGGTCAAGCACCCCAGAGGGGCCTGCTGCAAGATCTGATCCTCACTGGCAGATGGGTAAAGTCTCAAGGTCATCTTGACCATCTCTCCAATGACAGCCAGACAGATTTGGGTGCAGACACCATGATGATCTGGTGTCCCAACCCCCCACCTTGAGACCAGAACAGGCAGCTAAAAGCTCTGTTCACCATGGCACAGGACTCAGACTTGCATGTCCAGGCCAAGCTGCAGCCTCAGTGGAGATGTACAAAAACTAGGCCACATACTTTGTGAACAGCTGTACCAGGTATGGACCTTATCCCAGGCCCCCAGCTGCTTGCTATGTCCAGAGCTCAGCCAGAAGAGCAAGCAGAGCTACAGGGTTATCTTCAGCCATGGCCAGCAAGCTTAGGAGCACCAGCAAGCTTAGGAGCAATGTGTCCTAGCCTGGTAGCATCTTATCTCTACCTGGCACAGGAGCTCCTGGCTCAGTCTGAATTGTGGGAGCCAAAACAGCGCACTGAAACCTCTCCCCGGTACCTCCCAGGTAAGAAAGCCCACAGCTTTGCTGCATGATCAAAAGGCTGCCCATTGCCTCCAGGAACACCTACGCTCTCAGTAGCTAACTTCAGACTTGAAGCTACCAACAGGCTGTTTTGAGCTAACTGGCTGCCACCGGCCTGGAGCATTTGCACGATGCAGATGGAGCTACACGTGGGGCATCCTCCAGCCACATCATCTGGAAGAAGAAAAAGGCCAGATTTTACTCGGGCTATGGCTGCACTGAAGAGCTGAAACCCAATGCCAGCCACCAGGCTGGATGGACAAGTAGTTTGCAGGGTAATATTCATGGCTTGACAGATTGTTTGCTCAACCCTGTCCTACCCCTTCTTCTTACCTCAAACACCCAGCTTTGGGCAACAGAAGCCCTACTGTCGTTACCTCAAACATTAGCTACATCTAAGCACAGTGGAAGTGCAGTCAACCCTTGTGCTACAGCTTGTGTCAGGCCCAGCAGTATGCAGGACCTCAGTCAAACCACGGGACTTTTGGTAAACACTAGTCATCCACATCAGAAGCCTGGCCAGGTCCTTGGCACCTCACTCCCCAACTCTACACAAGCCTAATAGCACAGTCAAGATTTGTGCTGTTTTTCTAGATTGCTCATCTAGATTTTCCCTAGATGAGCAATGCCAACAGCCCTTTCCCCCTCCTTCACTTGCCCATCACAGGGCCCAAATAGCATCATTAGGTCATGACTGATGCACGAAGAAGGGGCAGGTACCACAACCCCCACAAACCGAGCTTCCTCCAGCAAGGCAGTGTAGACCTCCCACCCAAGCCTCAGCCCCATCTGACCCCACTTTGCTCCAAGGACTGAACCAATGCACTATGAAGCCTCCCTGTGCCCGACTGACAGCAGCCTTTCAACTCAAAGGCACAAGTCAAGGGATGGTGCATAGGCCTTTCAGCCAAGCACATTCACCCACAGAGTGTCCCCAACAGCTCGGGGTCCAGTCCTGGAGCTAGGGCAAAACCAGGAGCATGGGGGAATTAGTCTTATCCTTGGCTATCTCCAGGCACAGTTGTGAATTAACATGCCCTCCACTTGTCAGCACTTAGGCAGCACATGGGGCCAGTCACCACAGCAACAAAACCACTAAACAGGAAAAACAAACTGCAATGAGTCAATGACTTCAAAGCAGCAGAAGGGCCGCAGGGGAAGATTTCCTCCCCACCCTCACGCACACTCCAGCCGATGTTGTTATCTTCACAGCGGCACGTCAGACAACTCAAAGGACAGCAGTAGATCAGATTAAGCTCTCTTGTTGTCCCCATTGGACTCAAGGAAATTTTTTTTTTTTTGTTCAAGACACACACTGGAAAGTTTCCATCTCTTCCAAGTGAAGATTTCCTCTGTTTATTATATTAATATGGTGATGGTGCTGAACCTGAAAAAATGGGTGGGTAATTAGTCACACAGCATTATAAACTCCCTGAACTCTGACAGGCTGCAACAGGCTAGTTTTGGGGCCTGATGAACTGGTAATTTCAGTGGGTTTCAGCTGCAAACTCAAATCCCTTTGCAGCCAAGTGTGGATCACTGGGCAGGCACTAAGTGCGCATCCAGACCATTCAGGCTGCCACCAGCCCACCACACAGCTCATACAAAGCTGCTTGAGCCAACAGTCCCCAGTAAACTTTCCACAATTCCGCAGTGAGTTCCATCACGAGACAGCACCTCATCGCTATGACAGTCACGGGACATACCCTCAGATGTAGTTTTCAAGCCAAACTCCAGTTGGGGAGTTTTCAGCAGAACTTGGACAAGGCACTTCCCCTGCAGATGCATCCAGGTCAGGATCATCAGCAGGTCAGTGGCACAGCTGGGAATGGACCACGATTTCCCAGTCCTGGGACAATGTGCTACTGTCTCACACAGCAGTTCTTAAATACTTCATGCATTCCTCCTCACACCAGGAGGCCAGCAGCTTGCAAAACAACATGGTTAGGCTACCAAAACAGGGCTGCCCATGCGCTCTGCCAACTTCTCCTGTTTGGAGGAAGAGGCTGCCCACTGGTTTGGTACTCCATCCAAGCAGAAACTTCAGATAATGAAGCCATTATCTCAGTGGCAGAGAAAGAGATTGCACAGACAGATGAGAACTGTGACACAGGTTGTAAATCAAAGAAGCTCTGGGGACATTTCCCTGCTAGCCATGGAAACCTGTTTGCCTAAAGCTCCACCAGCCTGGTGCAGAGGTAGGAACCATCCCCCACCTCCTGCACCTGAGCTTAGATGAGTTCCCATCAGTCAGTAGGACTGACAGGTGGGACAGTCTCCTTCCAGAGGCACCTCTATGTCCACCTTCATTTAGCATTCCCATAAGGACCAGGCACCTTAGTTCATCTTCAGCTATTTAAAAATCAGCTCTGTTATGCAACCAGCAAATCAAACTTGCTCTTGGAGTATTCTTCAGTACTTAAAAGCAAGCAGCGTAAGTATTGGCATTCATCAGCCTCTTCATCTAGGGGTTTGCCAAAAGTCACAGCTCCTATGAAAGGAATTGAGATAGGTGCTGAACTCGATGCTGAACAAAGGCAGGTCCCCACGTAGTATATTAGCTTTCCTCCCAACCTTAAATTAGCCTCTAGTTTCACCCTAATGGTTCTCACAAGTACCACTGTTATTAGACCAACTTTTGCTTTAAGGCTCGTCTCTGAAAATGTAAGTCTTCAGAAAAGGAGCAGAAAGTCACTCCCCTCCCTTGGGAAAAAAAACCCAAACAAACAAAAAACAAAAACAAGTTCAAAAAAGATCAAATAAAACATTATTAAAGCTGACTTGTTTTCCCGAGTGGAGGAAACAAAGAAATCACTGATAAGATTTAAAGTTTACTGGCACTTGCAAGAGCGAGGGAAAAGAGACTCGGGTCAAGGGCAGGGCACATGCAAAGCAGAAATAAGGGCCATGCAGATGAATGCATTTCCCCAGCCTGAGCAGCACTGGATTTGGACTGGCACTTTTGAGAGATCTCTTGCCACCCCATGAGAGAGGGCAAAAGACAAAAAAGACTGTGTGAAGATTTACCAAGGTAAGGCACAAGTCTGAAACAGAAAGCTTTAAGACTGACTTCGAAGGAATGGTGAAATTCTTCCAGTCACAAGAGTGAGCTTGTCCCTTTCAGGGTTTCAGTGTAAAAAAAAAAAGTTCAGTGTTTGCTCCATTATAAGCAAGAGCCTATTGTCACATCTGTGGCTCACCAGAAGAGCCTTAAAACCTACAAGAGGCTGCCAGTTCTTTGGTCTACACTGCAGCCAGAGTCAGGAAATGATACCAGAGGCAGGACTGCTGGTTGCTGGTTTCTTCTTGCTACCCAGCTGGTCTACCAAGCCAAGGACAAAGCTGAGTTTTCCTGCTATCCCTATAAAAATACTGAGTATGGGTTTTTACCAGGTTAACTTCAGCCCCCTCTTTCCATTCTCCTTCTTTCCCCCTCTTTTTCCAAACACAGGCTGCTAATTCAAGTGAAAGTAATGACACTCTCTATTGGTAAGATAGGCAGAGGGTTGAAATTCAAGAAGGCAGCGTGACGGGGAACTGTTGGCGCCTGCTGCTAGACAGTCCTGATGAACTCTGATAAACCACAGGACACATTAGCCTCAGCCAGCTCTGCCCTGTACAGATGCTTCTCACCCCCCCTCCTCCCCTGGGCAGCAGAGAAGGAAGAAATTCCCCCATTTGAACAGGTTATTAGCAGCAATGATCCCAGCAAACCCTGTAGGGCCCAGCCATCCAATACAATCTTTAATTTATAGCCTAAAAAGTTAACGCATCAAGCAGGAGCTATGGATATATCTTCAGGCCCAGTGCGAAGAAGCAGAATTGGAAAAGCAGGTCACCCACTTCTGTATTTCTTCGCTATCTTCCTTCTCTGGCCCAACAAATAGCTTGGGCAGAGGCACAGGAACATGTCTGACCAGAAAGGAGGCAGTCCCCGTAGACTGCTGCCAGTACAAACTGGTCCCCTTGGCAGCTCCACTGCAGTAGTGGATCAGAGGGTTTCAAGATGGACAGATGACCTGCACATTAAAGGTCTCAGCAAAAATTTGCCTGAGAAAAGGGTCAAAGTACTTGTAAGATGGGAGAAGCCTTTGACAGCAAGAGTCAGACTGTGGGAGTTGCTTCTATCACTTGAAACAACCTGTCTAGGTTGAGCTACCAGAAGACTCTTTCCTAGATTCTGGAGATTAACAAGTATCTTCCCTTCAGATTATTCAAAACTGAGCTAGAGGCCACAAAGCACTTGCCCCCACTTCAGTGGAGTAAGGCAGAGTGTCAACTCCATTTCCATGGAGGACCAGTAACTGCGACACCATCCATATACCCACAGCAGCCACCATCTATGGGACTGGACACTGCAAGTTTAGGTTCAAAAGGCTGGAAAGGAGGTTGGATGTCACCTCCTTACCCTTGCTTCCAAGCTGGTGTAATTTTCACTGATCTTAAACCTTCAGGAACACACCAGCACATCCAGGCAGTAAGGCAGATCTTCACCACCAGCTTTACATTTGGAGCAGACTTCCAGCCTAGCTCTTTTAAGGAAGTACCACTCTTGAACATCAGTTACCACCAAGAAAGCAGGACTGCGCCATAACCAGGGACAAGTTCATGCCCAGAGTTAATCCACCTTGACATCCTAGGTATGAGTTCTTAGCATCAGTGCATAACCATCAAGACATACTGGCACTGCCCAGCTCAGGCCTCTCTTCCCTCCTCCCTCCAAATCAATAGGGATCTCTCAAGGATGCCACACACACCACTCCGGCAACCCCCGGGACACACTGCTCACATTATTTCAAGCGACCTCGCCAAGTTCCAACTGTTTATCTGGAGGCAGGGCCAGGAGGAGTGACTCACTTGTCTCAACAGCTGCTCACATCTGCCAGGCCTTTCTTCCAGAGGGAGGATTCCTCCGACTCCACATCCCCACGAGCAGCAGGCACTTCCCCACTGCACCCTTGAGCCGTGGAAGCCATGGCTGCTGTGCAGACCACCAAGCACATCATTAAACACTATTACCTCCATGTGCGTTGCAATGTCACCAGTAATTGGCCATCCCACCCACAAGAGCTGAGTTACTCTTTATAAAAGAGCTCTCAGAGCAAGAGCTATTTCTGTTCATCCTAAATTCCTCAGCAGAAACTACTCCAGGAGCCAGCCTGCGGCTGCCAGAGCTATCTTATCTCAGTGAGTCGCCAGTGAACTGCGGGATATCAGCAGTCGCTCACAGAGCGCTTTGAAACAGGGTCTGGGTGCCAGGGGAAGGAAGGGAATTCAACCCAGCGACTCAGGATGTGGTCTCTGCCCAAAAGCCGACGCAAAGCACAGACACCGCCTGCCCAGCAAACCACGCAACATGGACAAGGACAAAGTCTGCTGGGACTAGAGCACTTTCTCCCCCCTCCTCCCCCCATTTTTAAGTGTCAAGCTCAGACTACGCAAAAAAACAGCTTCCTACAGTTAAGGGACCATCATCTGGCTGAAAAATACCAAATGCTGACAAAAATAGGATTCCCAGCTAGGCCCTGTCCTCTAAAAAGGATGCTATCAATTGAAGTAAGGAAAGCAAGCTCATCTAAGCCAAGATTAATTACAATTAAAAATGGGAAAGTGTAACGAGATGGTACAGAGGTACCCACCAGCTTCAGCCTGCCACTCCAACAAGCCCACACAGGGTAGTGCAAAAGCTAGCTCATCCCTCACAAGATACTGTCATCATTTAGGGCAATATTTCAGCAACACTTTGTAGGCTGTAATAATTGCTTTTTGTTAGACACGGCCAGGTCATCCCAGAAATCATCCTTCTGTTGATCTCAGCTACAAATACGGAAAGTCCGTTTGACTCAGGGTCATTGATCACAGGCATGAAGCATCACCCTAGGTCTACGTGACTGTACGCTGCGTGACTGTGGTGAAGCACACAGACCATGCCACAAGCTTGCAGTTTGGTCTGAAACACAGGACATCCTTGGTCTTACCTGAGATTCCTCAGTCCTTCTAGGCCGAGGAGTTTCTATGGAGCCATTGATGTCCAGGGTGTCCTTCTGCTTATGTTTCCTCATGATCAAGCTGTCCACAACCCAGAACATTATGGCCTTGGGGAGAAAGAATTTGCATGAATAGAGTGCAGAGACCAAAATATAAAGTCATTCAATCACAGCTACTTTTTCTCTTTTTTGGTTTCTCCAGATGCCCAGGTCTGATCAATCTAATTTAATATCTAAATTAACCCCGCACCAAGTGTGTCCATGGGGGTTGGATAAGTCAGATTCCTGAGACCCCTTCTCACATAAATCTATTGATTCCACAGTTGCTGAAGACACAGTAAAGAAAAAAAAAATTAAAAAATTTAAAAATAGGCCAAGTTTCCACCCGGAAATACCCATTGAATGAAGCTCCATTCCAGGTTCACCAGCTCTGTCTGCATCAGTCACTGATCAGTTCTTTGAGAACCAGAGTTTGCTTTCAAATAAGGAAATGCAGCCTGGCGTGGGGAGAGAGGCTGGTAGCATGGGCAGGTAAACCCAACTTTGCCAGTGCCGCATCCATAGCAATGCTCAAGGTATAAACAGAAAAGAGTTGGACTCACTCCTTGTTCAGGAGGGATCTGAATATTAACATCTTGCTCTCATTTCCCATCTTAGCAGAAACTAATCAGCAGGCCAAAAATTGCCCAGAATCAGGGGAACCAGGAAAAAGCTGGAGCTTTCAAGAGGTTTTACCAAACCAGTTTTGCAAAGATCCATAGTCCTGGGTAACCCGAACACCTTGCCTTGCTTTAACGCAATATGAAGTCTAGCCATTTGGCTAGACTGGCAGGTTGCCAAAAGTGACCACTGATAAGCCATCAGGAAGAATGGTTTAAGGAACTTAAAGGGCTTTGGGGCATTCCCATGCCTGTAGCTTGCTGCCAAGATGCAGTCCTCAGCTAATGAACCCCAGCTTTCTTCAGCCATCCACCCAGCAGCTCGGACAAGGAAGCAGGAATTAGGAACAGAGACTATGGCAGGGGAGTAGTGACATATTTATGTAATCATGACAACAAATATATTTGTTTCCACTCTCCTACACCCTGTCCCAGCCACTTCACTTACTCAAGGCTGCCCCAAGCCGGCTACTGTACATGCCTCCCATTGCGGGGGACGACCGTAATTTCCAAACCACCCCACCCCGTGCTTGCAGAGGCATCACTTACATTGACTATAAAAGGCACAACAAGCATGACCAGGACAAGCTCCAGCTGGGGGTTTGGGATGTAACCCAGGAGGATCTGCTGAAGCTGCAGAGGAGAAAGCATTTAGCAGCATTATTTGAACAGTTCCGCTATGAGATCTTTACTACAAACTGGTTGCCGCCTTATACCAGTCTCCTAGTTAGGGCTCTGCAGTCTTTGCTTTAGCCCAGCTCTTAAAGATATCATGGGCTGTTCTGTTAGCCCAGCTGCCAAACACAGGATTTTGTACAGATCAAGAAATAAATACTGCTAGGCTTTCAGTTTAACTACTCAAGACAACTGGTGGGACTTTCCTTGGCTCTTTGGAGCCCAGCCATGTGTGGTAAGTGTGGAGAGGAATCCAGCAGCATCTTCAGATCTAGCAGTGTGTGCTGCTGAACATGTTCATGTCCAAGTCAGCACTGTAGGCTACTGGGTTAGAAGGACAAGCACTTAACAGGAACAGGTAAGTGCTCCCAAATTGCTGTAAATAACTCCTCAGTCAAGTCACATCAGCCTGTGAGGTACTAGGCACTATGTGTAAGTACACTCAATATTGGAGTTACCCATCAACAGCCAGAATTGTTTTGTATAGCCGTCACACCTACCTGCCACCAGGTATGTGGCTACAACTGCCACAGGATTATTTTTATTTTTTAAAAGAGAAACTCCTGATCAACACAATTACCACCGCATGAGCTTCCACACAAAAGCGGTTGTGAGGGCAGGGAGGACAGCACGCTACTGGGATAGTTCTTTCCAAATTAACCTCTAAAAGCCCCCCTAGTTTAGGCATGGGTTCACAAAACACCGACATGAGCTAACTTGATGAGATAATGTAGAAATCCTCCAGCAGAACTGAAGTAGCTCAGCTGCCAGCCCAGCCCATTTTATCTTTCCAAGGATGGAAAAGAAAATCAAAGCATTTTATTCCACTAGCTTTTGACTAGCAAGAGAACATACCAAAAGCCAAACTGTTAGGAGAGTCATGTTTCCCCAAACTTAAGTAGTAGCTAATGATTACAGAGATATGTCAACAAGTTATAAGGATTAATGACCTACAATGATGGGGACCACTAACAAGGCAAAGCTGACAAGGAAGAAACCACAACAGCTGTGGCTAGAAAAATACAGCTCAGGAGCTTACCTTTGTCCAACCAGGGATAAGCAGGACAAGGCTAATCACAGTCTTCTCAAAAACCATTATCAGCAAGTAGAGGATACACTGGCCAATCCAGGCAGCAGCTTGTGGAGGGTCACCTGGGAAAATAGCATATTAAGTCTGAGACAGAGGACAGGAGAGGACAGCCTTGTTGCCTCACACTTGGTACCTGAGCTGGTTAGAGGGATAAGGAGGTGTTTCCATACTGCAAGGTTTGTAGCAAGACAAATACTCAATACTGAACTTAAAAGTTCGCAGAGAGATTTTCTATCTATAGTTGTAGGAGAACATGCCTGGGGTAGAAAGGTTTGGGGTCCCTGGCAAGTCTACAAGTCATTACCCCATTGAAGATCAAAACATACCAAGATCTAAGCTGAAATCTTCCTAGTTAAAAACAAAAAAGTAAGTCTGACTTGTATTAGAAAAAATTTAGCAGACTTGCATCCTTCACTAGTTGCAGTTTGTCTTGCATCTTTGCAAACTGATGTCGAGAAACAAGAGCAGCAAGGCAAAAACACAGCCCGTTTCCATTTGTGCAGACTGCCCGCATCAGGGCAGCTATTGGTCTTTCATACTGCAGCCGTGCTTTTGAATTAAATTTGGTTATAAGCAAGAGAGCTCTCCCTCATGAGACACCACATACACCACTACCACCACTGGCCCTTTGTTCTAGAAGGCAGTTCTCTTTTTCTACTCCATTTAGGGCTGATTCTGAACTGGAGACAACAATTCACATTAACCAGAGGTCTAGTTAAAGGCAAGCAAGTAACAAAGGAATTTCAGACATGACTCAAAAAGCCTCCAGATCCCTCCCTGATGCTAATGCTATCTTTATTCACCTTCCTCCTGCCCTGCTCTCCGTTCCACCAGCGTGCCTCTGAAATCCATCAAAAGGAGAAAGCCACCACCAAAAGTCTTCTTGCGTTGCATCTCCTCCTCCATTGCCTGTCCTTTCTAGATCAACTGCTTTACTGAAGCAAGTCCTACAAGTGTCCTACAATGCAGGCAGGCAGCTTCTGTAAAAGGGAAGATGCACAGCTCTTGTCTCTGCCTGAAGATCTAAAATTCCCCATGTTTGTCCAGCAACCCCAGCACTTGCAGACACTCCTGGGCTCTCAAGGGCCACAGCTGAGCAGTATCCCAAGTGCTTAAAGGAAAAGCCATTCCTGGTAACTCTAGAGACCGGGTCGACTTTCATGAGTCTTGGTTTCAATAACAAATATGTTCTACTCCACTTGGGGGAAAGAATGCACAGAACCTTGGAGATGCATTTTTCCCTCTCCTTCAGTCACCAATGGGCATTGCCAGTATCCACCCCATGGTACTGAGCTACTTTGAGCTGGATGGATACAGGGGTAAGAGGGGAGGAAGCCCTGCTTGTAAAAGGGTGCGAGTATCCCCTCTGCTCAAAGCACAGACCACTAAAATCCTCCTTGGAGAAAGCTCCAAAGCTCAGAAACCTCAGCATCCTATTCAAACAGATCCTTACAAGCATGCATTGCTTTGGGGCATCAGTAGTTTTGTTTGCCCCTTGCCTGGTACCCTTTTGTCAAAGTACCAGAGATATAATTTCTCTTCATCTTGGGAAACCTAGAAAAATCTGCAGAGATGGGTCCCCTCCACTTCCCCCCACCATTCCAGTGGATAGGAGCAGCTCACAAAATCCTGGCCATTGTCAGACTGATAATCCTTTCTGAATTAAAACTAATCCAGAGAGCAAACCCCAAGACAAGACACTGCTGGACTGACACTCCTCTGTACAAGGACCAGTCAGTATCCTACACAGTCCTCTATAAAATAAAATTAAATATCAGTCATTAAAGACATCACCTGCAATTTGCTTCCTGCCAAGCCTTACCCACCCTGTTGCCAGCAACAGCCTGAAAACGTCTGGTCACCAATTTTGATACAAGAAGCATAAGCTTGCAGTCCTGAACAGAATTTTTTTTTTTTTTGCTGATGAAGTGAACAGCTGGTTATGCGATACTTGCTGTCTGAGCAAGAGACAGGGGCTCCATTGATCCAGGTTTTAGAGCAATTGACTCAAAAAGAATCAATGTTAATTAAATATGAATGTTTCCAATGGGGTTCTTATCAAGTAATAAGTAAAAGCATATTTGCATTGTTAACAACGATAATGGTACCATATCTATTACATGTGCTTGCTTCAGCTGTAAGCACCCTGCCAGCTGGTTATCATCTTCCCAGTCTCATCAGAATATCTCAGCTCTGCAGAACTGAGCTACAGTATCTGGTTTAGGAAAACTGCAGCATTTCCTCTTACCACTTGAATACAAAGGTAACCCCTGCAACACTTGTGTCCAGCATTATTGAGCCGGAATTCGGAAGTGCAACTTTGCAAGGGAACCCAACCCACCGCGAGATGCCGACGCTCGATGTGCTGTCAGACGGCAGCGGGCTGGGAGCTCTGCCCCACTTTTCTCAGCACGGTAGAGTCGTGGAAGGGGAAGACAACACCAGTAGTTTGCAAAAGCACATTTATCCAAACCACTATGCAAACCTCCAGCCACACAGACCAGCAGCGCATACCAGGATTTAGTAAGAGCTGGTATCCAACCAAGCCCAGCTCCAAGGGGATCTGCTTCCCAGCAAGGGCGAAACAGGTTTGCGTGTTATTTGTCCTTACCCCCTCATTTGTTAGCAACGTACCAAGACATTTGCCTCGTTGCAAAGCTACAGCTAAGAAGTGGAGGCATGCAGTAGTGTCTCCGGGCCAAAGATCTCGGAGCGATCACCTTGCATCCCAGCTTTTTCATTGTCCAAGCCATGATGGAGAAGGAAGCAAAGGAGGGGAGAGGGGAGGCCAGGGGTGCAGGGAAGCTGCTGAGCTGCGGGGACAGCACGCAGAGCGCGCCAGGCCCGCGGGCAGCCCCGTGCGGGGGGGGAGAAAGAGGGAGCCAGGACGGTTACGTGGGAGTGCAACCGGCAGAGCCCGCAGAGCATTTTGGAAAGCTCACGTCTCCGCGCCCTGGCAGGCCACGGCTTAATGGGTGGTCTGCAGAGGAGACGGGACTGGTGTTACGGGCAGCTGGCAAACAAAGGCCGGTGTCAGAGACGCTTCGACCCTCCTGAAGCACAGACAGCCTCTCCCACCAGACGCAGGTGCCTAGTTGTCTTTGGTACAGGTTAAGTATAGTGGGTTTTTTTGCTTCATACCCCAAGACCAACCAATTCTCCTACGAACCCCCAGGTTACCATCCCCCATCAGAGCTCCGAGTACAAACAAAACAGGAAAACAAACATATCCATCGTGTTCTTGCTGCATTTGAACTCT